GTCGTCCGGATGCATTAACAGACGAGCTAGAGAAGGGTCTGGCCACTTCTGAATAGGAGTGCGAGATCCCCCAGAATGTCCAGGAGCAGGCATGATCTCCCCTAGAGCTGCTGCTCTGAGAAGCGGCAAAGAGAGCACACAGATGTCTGTGTGCCTCATAGAGCTACTGAGGAGACCTTAGCGCCCTGAGCAATCGGCAGGTCAGGCGGGGAGGGTGCCAGATGGTTAGAAAGCTTCATCAGCTTACCTCTCAGGCACCACAGATTTACAGTTGTGTCTTAAAGAAGGACTCTTCCTGGGTTCAGTAGAGAGATGGATTAAGATAGACTTCAGCTAAAAGATCTTTTAGTAATGTGGGGGACACTGGCAGGAGCAGGGGAGAGGTGTGGGGGAATGCTGGTGTCTGTGGCACAGATCCAACAGCAACCACTTCTGTCAGGAAGTGTTTGAAGTGCTCTCACTGAGCCCCATACACCTGGGTAGAGCCAGTGTACAGCTAGATAGTAACTGGCAGATTTGCTGGAGGCACTTCTGGACCTCAAGTATTTGGTAAGGAAACCCACATCAGTTGCTGAAAAGGTCTCTGCACACTACAGATCAGACACAGACGCCCCGCTGTGTGAAGTATGAAATATGAAATGATCTTAATCTCTTGAACGCTCCACCATGCCACCCATGCACTCTCAACCTTCCTGCTCTAACTTAAAGCAGCGCATTTCTCTACCCATCTGCAGCGCTTGGGACAGGCAGCGGGCCCTGTCACAGCAGGCATCTGTCCCACACTCAGCTACAGCTACAGTTTTCTGTAGCTGTACAGCTACAGCCCAGTTTTCTGCTTCTGACTCTGGTCTGTGCTACGTAAGCTTAAGTGTCAACACTGTCAGGGAAACCCAGGCATCCATGAGGAAGGTTTGTGTCCTAGGAGCAGGTGCCGTTCCATTGGCTGTTCTTTGCCTGTTCGTGTCAGAAAAGGCATATGCAAGCTTACTGACTGTTTTCATACACATAACACCGTAAGAGAGCTTCCATTAGAGACCACACTGTAGAAAGCGGGAGAAAAGCCTTGCTGAGGAGTAATCTGTTCCAGTAAGAAATGAGTAGAGGCCAGCGTTTGGCTTCCACTTACGGTTCACTGGGATGACAGATGAAGGAAAAGTTTCGGAATTTGTAAACCGCCTGGAAACAGTCTAGTCTAGGCAGAACTGCATTGCAGGATTGGAATGTGGAATGAAGGAAGATGACTGAATGGCTGCTCACAGATTAGCTCGCTTGTCTGTGGGATGGCATCAGAGGGGAATTTTAAAGCCTGAATGATGCCTTACGGGGCCTTGACACATTGCCATAAACAAAAGGCTAGTCTTGAAAAGTGCCGCTCCCAGGCACTTCAGTGTGCCAACAGTAAAGAAATTTCTAGTTTCATGGAATAAAATTATAATATAAGGTCATGCCAAAGACAAGGACAGTTTAGTCAAAAAGAAGGTTATGGCTACTTTCTAACTATGTAAACTTTGTATTTTACTGAAGTTATCTGGGTCACATAGTCAAGTCACAAAAATATAAGCATCTAGACATTTTGACAAAACAAACCTGGACTCCATAAATATTTAAAGAAAATGCTATTACATGCTCCAAAGATTAAGCTAATCTTCCTTCTTTGATCCCACTGTCTATCATGCAACCAAAGTTGAAAACAGAGATAATTAAGCAATAATCAGTTTTACTTATATTCATTTTCCTTAAATTAAAGGTATTTTAACAGAAAGCAAGACTTATATCCAGTAGAAAGATTTGTTGCTGTCGTAACACAAGGTCTCACTAGTAGCTCAGGCTTGCCTGGAGCTCACTATGTAGCCCATGCTGGTTTTGAACTCTCAGTGAAGTTTCTGCTGTGATCTCCCAAAGGCTGGGATGATAGGCATGTCTTACCACACCAGGCTTAGAAAATGTCTAAGGCAAATGTGATGTAAGACCAAGAATCCAGTTTCACATGGAAATTACTTATGTTACTAAATATTACAAAAGTCCTTAACTGAACAGTTCGTGTTTTCTGTGTACTTAGTTAAAATACCAGTGTTTGAAGAACTTGGTAAGCCAATAGTATCAAAACCTTGCCAGGCCAACTGTCAGCCTTGTCAGACAAATGACACCTTTAGGAATGATTCTGACATCAAAGTATACGGACAGATTTATTGACACAACTATGCATTTTGCCTGATAAATGAAAAATGTCAGGATCTGAGTGAGGTGTAGGAAGTGAACTATTTTTAGTGTGTTGGGGATGACGCCTGATTATGAATAAGATACTGGATGCCACTCATGGTTCTCTCTATATCGAAGTTTAATTCCAAAAAGATAAAAATACAAATGCTAACAGACAGCTCTACAAAGAATTCTCTATGAGGTATTGGTTTCCCATTTCTTATGACCACCTTTTTCAGATACTTTGGCTGCTCAATTAGCTCATCGTTACTTGAATTATCTACGTTCAAGAATATGAGGCCTTCGTGGGCCGGCTGCCATCGCCTATGAATGTCAAAGTTCTTCTTTGGCTATTAAAATCACACTGATTTGGACTCATTACTGTAACTGTGTCTTCTGGCACAAATCCTTTAAAGTACATAAGAGGAACTTGCAAATTTCTGCTCTGGAGAGGCACTGAGCCAGAAGTTACAAGATACGGGCATTTAAGCTCTATGACTCTGGAAAAGCCAGTCTGCCCAGGCTTCACATTTTCTCACCCAAGGTTCTTCCTACACAAAAATGCTCTTAATTTTCCATCTCTAGGTTAGAGAAATCTCTAATAATTGCCATACCTTCTGAAGAGCAACTGACATCTCAGAAGCATGACGTTTAGAAAGCCCATCTCTTAAAACCACATGGAGTCTCTTTACGGGAGTTGGCTATTAATAAAGGCCACTCTGCTTGCATCTCTGAGGAGTCAAAACTAGGAATTTCCTCTCCATCTTTTGTACACGTCTTTACTCTCACCGCCTTGTCCTGCCACCTACCTGGTTACAGAGACGGGGTCTTGCTATGGCTGGTTAGCTCCCCACGTATTAGGATTGCCAACCTTCCTTTGCTGTATTTTCTTACTGTTGCCCCTGGTCATATAGAGAAACCTATTTGTTATTTTTCAAATGATCTACCAAGTTTGCTTCTCTGGCTATTTAAAACTACCTAGTAAGGCCCATGTTTGGAGACAAGGTAGATAAAGAGCCTGACATAATGGCTACTCCAGTCAAAGCCAAGTAGGCAAAAGGCACATGTCTGCTAAAGGTCCATTCTTCACTTTAACTCACATAACTACTCCATGGGCTTCTTTCAAAGTGTGCTGACAGTTGCCAGTTTGAGATGGTTGCTAAGTGTCTTGCTGGCCATTTTCAAAACAATGAGGAACAAGGCTTTGGTACACTTAATTCTATCTTAGTTGGTGTTTGCTTATAAGCTTGTCAAACTTATAAATAAAAAGTCGAGCAGTTTAGCTTTGGTAGAATTGACAACTGGTTGGTTGCTATCACAGAGGGGGACAGTTTCATTGACTAAATGTGGACTTCCATTCAGCCTTCCTCTCATGACAGAGTGAGTGCTTCTATACCATAAGACTGACCCTGCCCCAAATTCAGAACAACTCGCTGGGGATGTGGAGAATACTGTTCAGACTTGCAGTTTTAAAGGAAGAAACTCAGTGTGGTAGTTTGAATGAGAATGGGCCTCCCTCCCCTTGCCCCACCAACCCCTAGGCTCATATATTTGAATCCTTACTCACTAGGGAGTAGAATTGTTTGAAAAAGATTAGAAGGATTAGGAGGTGTGGCCTTGTTGGAGGAAGTATGTCCCTTTGATGTTTCAAAAGCTCACCCCCATACCAGGCCTTGTGTGTTTCTGTCTGCTTCCAGCCATCATAATAATGAACTAATCCTCTAAAACTGTAAGCAAGTCCTCAAATGTTCTGTAAGAGTTTTTTTTCATGGAGTCTCTTCACAACAACAGAACAGTAACAAAGGCAGAAGCTGGTACCAGTGACTACAGAATTGCTATGACAGCCCACACCAAACTATCTGTTGAAGGAACATGCAAGACTTTGGATTAGAAAAGCAGTTAACACTCTGAGGGGGGTTTAATGGCCCATCCCAGTAGGAACATGGAAGACAGTGGTACTGAGGGTGATGTGGACTATGTAGGCCCAGAGTTCAAGAGGTTTCACAGGGAAGGAATATTACTGGCTAGTTTAGAAACCATTCTTGTAATATTTGAGTAAAAAACGTGGCTGAGTTTTGCTCTGTGCTGAGGCTAAATCAAAGCGTTTTGGGTTAAAGTCGGTGGCAGAGATTTGAAGACGGCCTACTATTGACAGTGTGGGGTGGTTTCATCGGTTGTCACTCTCATGCGGATCTATACTGTGAAAAGGAGCAAGTAGGTCAAAGAGAAACACCAACTGTACGTTGAAGGAGAAAAAGACTAACAAGAAACATAGAAGACAGAAGTGCCGGTGTTCAAGGAGATAAATGCCTGATGCCAACCTGAATAAAGGGAGGGGTGCGCTCTTGGGCAAGCCCCACCCAGCTAATCCTGCAGCCTATGAAATGAGAAGGCCCTAGGGATTTCCTAGCTTTAAACAACAATGGGAAGTTTATACAAATGCAATTCAAGGAGGGGCCTAGCAAGCAGAAGAACTTGGCAGATTTGGCCATGTGGTCCTGCACTTGAGTCCAGATGCTGTGACTGGGCACGAGAGTCCTTGCCTAGAGGCCTGGAGAGGTCATTGTTTGACAGGGATGTGAAAATACTTCTTGTCTTGCTAAATATAGATCACAAAACATTAGTTTTTCCATTTTCATTTATCAGTCATGATATGTACAAGAAAAACACTAACAGAAACATATACACAAACTCCTTTAAACCACTTCATTAAAACAAAAGTGAACCAAACCATTCAAAATGAAGTAAAATCATTAACAAAAATAAAAATTAACATAAAATATCAATACTTACACATCAAAGTGGTCAGTTAGCAAAACAAAGCTAGCATATGGTCATACAGAAAGACCAATCAATCCATCACTACCCCAATGCTACTTCACTTCATTTTTCTCCGCCTCTTGTCCCTCAAGCTTCCATCCTTTCACACTGGGGTACCAGTGCAGGAGGCTCCTGGATGTGGCTAACCGCGCAGCAGCTCCCAAGACAGCCGTGGCTGTACTTCGAGGAATGTAGAGCTTCTGAGAAGTCTGGTGCTGGGGGGACAAAATGAAAGAGAGCTGGTCTATGGCTCCTTGACTCTTGTCCTTGACCACCATGTCAGCATGGCTACTAGAAAAATCTTCATTCTTTAGACTCCCTGGAGAGCTTTCCACTAAAAAAGAGAAAAAACAAAAGAGTCCTTTCAAGAGGTTCTCCAACTCACTGCCTGCTTCTCTCAGTCTAGTTCTTTACCAACATGTGTTACAGCCTTTTTTTGGCTTGTGACAATCACCAGTCAGAGGGATGCTACTCAGAAAACAGCCAAGGATAGGAAGGACGTGAGGATCCTGCATTATTGTAAAATAATACTTCTCAGACCAGACTGAGGGCCAAGAGAGGGAGAAACGTGAGCGAGGAAAGGAAGATATTTTGGGAATGTCAGAAAATGAACCGGATGAAGTTCAAATCCCATAGAAGAGCTAATACGCTCCCTTCCGTCTTTCTAGCACAAAGCAAATAATATTCTGCAGACATCCTTTCCCGCCAAGTGGTTCTACTCCAAGTCTGCAGAGTCAGAACCAAGCTAGGAAAGACTGCCTGCTAACGCGGACCTTCCGTACTGATTTATATAGGAAGGAATACCCACGTGAACAGAACGAAATGCTGGAGCACTAACACTCCAGGGCTTCTAGCCACCAAGGACGTGGATGCTAGACATTCTGAGATGGACGTGCTAGACCAGGGCAGCTTTCCCACGGCAGACCCCTTTGGCCTGGTGTACATCAAACAGGCATGTAAATCAAATGTTTACTAATGATGAATCATAAAGTTATTTTTAAAACGTCTTTGATACACATGTAGTTTTACTGATTATTAAAGACAAAATCAAATTTGCATACTAATATGATGGATATATCTAGTTTTTACACAACGTATTGGGCTGACTCTTGGCTGAGGATCTGATACTATGAGGATACACACATCTTCAATGCTTTTCAGTTACCAACACTGGGAACACTCTCATCAAAATATACTACAAAATGAGAAGAATATGTTTAAAACCATTTCAGAAATAGTGGGAAATTCCACCCTAATCCTACAGGCAACATTCATTCAATTTTAAAAAATGAAACTCATCAATAACTCAAAGATTCAAATGCAATCCAATCCAAAGAGATGCTAATCTGAGACTTCGATGGTTTTTAAGGAAGGGCAATTGAAATGTAGTAAATAAAAAGTCTTACATTCTATAACTGAACCATTATGGTGTGTTGGTTTTTGTTTGTTTGAACACAGGGTATCACATGTACATTCTACCCTCTGGAACTCACTCTATAGAACCTCTGGTCCTCCTGCCCCATCTCTGAGTGCTGAGATTATGGTTTGTGAGGTTCAGGAATGCTGGAGATTGAAGGCAGGGCTTTTGCACACCTTTTTTCGTAAACCATTATGTTTCTTTAAGAGCAGAAAACTCTGCACAGTAAAAACACTGCAATTCACAACAACCTCATCTCAAGTCTGAGCTAAGGTGTCTTCAGCGAGCATTTGTGTGTTGGCATGCACAGCCCAGGGGGCTCATCTTAAGAGTGGGGGGCAAAGGCTGAAGTGAAGCTCACTGGGGAGAAGAAGACACGGATGTATGAAAGGGGTGGCGTGACATGGTTACAGAGAGCAGGAACTGGTCATATTTACTCTCCTTCCACCTTGCACAGTTAGAAAAGTGGACACGCATAGGAGCAGCAGCTTCCGCTGGGCACTGTACTGAGTGACTCCCGAGGGAACACACCAGAGGTGTGAAGCCACTGTTGAGAACTGAATCCCTAGAAAGGACAGAAGGAAGGAATCCAGACAACATGAAATTCAATGTCTGCTATCTACGGATGCAGAGTCTGATTTGGAATCATGACCCAGATGAGACATTTCAGAAAGAATCACGGAAGAAAAAACATCAGAACAGGTGCTGAGACACTCTGGAGTTAAGAGGACAGACAAATGTAACCATGATGACAAACAACTGAGGTAAAGAACAGCATCTGAGAGCAAATACCAGCTGGGACACAGGACAGACATCGCCTGCAGAGAGCAAGGCTGAAAGGAAAGAGCCGTCAGTGAGCTCCGGACATCCAGTGGCTTGTGTGATGTAGTCTTTAAAAAAAAAGGAGGACTAACAGGAAACTAGTTACAATACTTAAGTGCTTCCAGATCTGTGGTTTTAGAGCTTCATTTAACATTTGTTTACAACTGTTTTTATTCTGTAGCCCAGTACAGGTCCTATGACCACAAAAATGAAATATGTATGTTGGGGTCGCCAAGGACCAGAGAGTGCCTGGGACCACAGTCAAGGGCGTAACGACCGCTGCACAAACCACCACCAACCACTCTCTAGTCCTGTTTTCTTGACTCTTTCCAGAAAAAACCTGGGGAGCTCTTATTTAAAGTCTGAGATCAAGAGTCCTCAAAAAGATAAATATGTAAGCAAACGAAAATGCTTTCTTATTTTTTAATTCCTTTAAAAACAAAATGAGAATGGATAATGGGCATAAAAGTAAAATATATTAACAGTCTGGGGTGGAAGCATACTATTATAAGATTTTACTTATGTAACAATTTAAAGAAGCTATAATAGCAAATAAGCACGGAAAAGATGGCTAATATGGGAAACAGAGAGACCCAAATTAAAGTTATAATAGCTTTTCACATTCCGCTAGATAAGCAAAGTTTAAAAAACATTTTAAAATAGCATCTGGTGGCTAAGATGTAGAGTAATCACAAATTTCATACCTTGCTGGTGGGCACATGAATAATATATCCACTGAGGAACACATTTTGGTAATTTTTTTAAAAAGCTACCCATGCGGTGAATATATATGCCCTAGTAAAACCACTGCTAAATACACAGCCAATAGAAACAAAACTCTCCAATATGATACAGCAAAGAAGCCAGGTATGAAAACTACATACTATGTAACTGTAAAAAAAGCACAGTGACATGCCAGAAGCCAACAAGCTGATGCAGGGACTGACTGCAAAGAGGCACAAGGAGACTTTTCAGGCTAATGGAATCATCATGACTGAATAGTTGCCAAAACTGAGGAACCATGTACTGGAAACTTCATATAAATGTAAAGTCCCTGCAAAAGCTGCAAGAAAGGAACAAAGTGGCAGAGTTGAAGAGGCCTGAGCTCAAAACTAAGGTGAGAACTTGAAGTGGTAGCATTAGCCTGTCTTCAAGGTTTGTTCACAAATGGCAAACTTCCCACATGTCAACTGAGCAGACGTAAGGACACACAAACCTACCGGAGCCAGAGTGGTTTTCTGGAGAGTCAGCCACTGCAGGAGCTGAAATGGGCACTGCTGAGGACACCTGGCCGTGCTGGGGCTGGGGCTGAACGCTGGCTGGTTCAGCCTGGCCCTCCTCTGCCGACTGCTGTGACTTAATGAGAGAGATGTAGAACTCTTCTAGTCTGGGCAGTGTGGAAGAATCCAAGGGATACTTTAAGTCTGGATGCTGCAAAATGGGAGAAACGGGGCAGAGGCATGAAGAGTGGCTGTCAGTACAGGAATCAAACCCTTTGTTTACTTAGATCGAAATTAAAAACTCTGGAAAAAGCACCCTCTTTTATATTTTAATGAAATTTCAAAATTCAACTGAAGAAATCTTCATTGGTATTGCTGCGAACAAGTGTGGACGGTAGGGAGTGCTGCCACACACCAGTGATGAAGTGCGCACAGCGTATGTCGGGCCAGCACCATCGCCTTCTGTGGTGCTAACTTTAAGTAACATCAACATGGCGAATGTGACAGAAAGAAGGCGCAGCCATGATGGAAAACAGCCTGGCAGTTTCTTAAAATGTTAAACATGGAATTATTCTACATTTATCAGGTTATCTGCCTAAGATACATGAAAACCTTGGCAAGGAGTAAAAGGATAGCCAGCCTGGAAATTATGCTAGATATTAGGAGGAAAAAGAATGGTATCACAAATTCACAAGAAAGACCGTGATTCAGAAAGGAATAAGAGGCTTAACAATGCCAGATGTAGCTGAAACCAAGTTAAGATAATGTGCATCAAAATTAGCAACTAAGCACAGGAAAGGAAGGTGAGCCCTTCTTTCTTAGTATTAAGGAGGAAAGCCTGGATACTTTCCTGTTAAAGAGTTTGAACCTTTCTGGAATCTGCAACACAAACATCTCAGAACAGGATGCAGGGTTCCTGGCAGGCACAGGCAGAACAGGGCTATGGAGCCCCAGACTGAACTTGCACTAACAATTTTAGAAGAAAAAAGAGCAACATGCTTTTGACTCTACCCTAAACTTACTGTTTTCTAAAACCCTGGGTCAACGTCATATATGCTGTGGTTCCTCGTTCTATTACAGTAACTTTTCTCTCAGTAGACACAAGCATCAGACCTCTGGAAGGCAGTCTACCAAAGAATGTATGTATGTGTGTGTGTGTGTGTGTGTGTGTGTGTGTGTGTGTGTGTGTATGTTTATATGTTTATCTTCAATATTATACATATAACTTGAGAGTAGTATCCTCAAATAGGATGTAATTAGGTCTAATGATATCATACTAAGCATCAGCATTTTAATGCTGCCATGCTAGAGACCATACCCCCGATACATGCTACTTTGAGGAAAACCCCACATGCAATTCCCAGCAACAGAGCACTGTTGCTCCTTCTACTGGAGAGAAACGCACCACGTTTCCCAGAGCACCGTTCCTTCTGCTGCACACAGTCCTTCAGTTGACGCTGATCCAGAAGGCAAACTTCTGCGGCTAATTTTCTCATCACCTTGTCCACAGGAGTGGGCAATATTTTCAAAGGGTTACTGAAGTGACTATACAGTCTCCTCCCACATTACTGATATTTTTTCTTAGTGACTACACTCCATTAGAAACTAGCCACGATTATCCTTGTAGACTTTTTGTAAATGACCTCAATAGGAAGTCTAGACTACAGGTCTGACTTTTCATAATTTAACTTATTCCCTACTTCAGAGACCCTTCAGAGTTGCCTCTCTTTAATATTCAGGCCTATCTTCAAATTGTTACAATTTCTTAAAAACAGATTAAGACTTTCCCCAGTGTACGTGGTTCCGAGCCCATGGATTTATTAGTAGCATTACCATTGCTACCGCCGTTATTACTTTTATAAAGTACTGTGTGCTTACTATAGGCCAAACCCAACCTTATGTAGCCACTTCACCACCGTGGCAGGTGGGATGAGAAAGGCCCCGGAGGCTCGTATCTCTGCAGGACTGATTCCCCAGCTGATGAGTTGTAGGGAAAGAACTAGAAGGTGAGGCCTTGGTAGTGTGCTTTCAAGTTTCAGAAGCCCACACCAGGCCACACATCTGCCTGCAAATCAGGATGTAACCCTCTCTGCTACTTTTCCAGCACCATGCCTACTTGTGTGCCACCGTGCTCCTGGCTGTGATGTTAAGTACCAGCCCTCTGGAACTGTATGCAGGACCCAAGTTAAATGCTTTCTCTTATAAGAATGGCCTCGGCCATGGTGTCTCATTATAGCAATGAAACAGTGACTAAGACAAATTACTTAGGATAAACCTTTGACAACTTAATCTACGTCTCTACTTTCTCATTTAAAATGGTGATAACAGCACTTCTAAGGAAAGATTAAACAGATAAGGTTGTACAGGACAGTGGCAGGAAACTAGTAAGTGTCTACACCAACAATGTTATCTTTTTTACTAGTAAAAGAGATCACAGAGATAAGTCACAGCTCTCAGCTCAGATATTTGACTACAGAGAACTCCTAATTACCATTAGGTTCACAGACCAGGTCCTTACAGACCAGTAATGGGAACTTAACTGTCATTAACTGAAAAGGCCCACAGTGTGGTGACTAAAAGCTCCAGGAGAATCAGACATCACATTTACAAACCCTGATTCCTTTTTTTGTGAAGATATAAGTTATAAAAATGTTAGTAAGGCTTCCAATTCTAAACATGGTGCCCCTCAGTTTCACTGCATTGTAAACTATGGACAAATTAGATTTTATAATATTTGAAACTCCTGGGGTACAAGCAGGCAGGGAAATTTAGAGAAAACAAAGCAGGTTCCATATAGTCCTCTCAGCATTTTAACTAAGGCAGTCTCCAATCAGGATAGGGGCTGAGGTCCAAACACAAGCTGCAGTTTCATGGGCTATTGAGAGAGGTCAGACACTGAGTCTAACCATCCAGGCCTTAACAGACACACCCCAGAGACAGGGACTAGAGAACAGCCCAACACCCTGTTCACAACTTCCACAAGTCTTCTGCTGAATCCAAAGTTGGAAATTCATAGTGAGGGTCTATGGAAACCCACAGAGAACATAGCTGGCTGGTTAAAAGGCAGAGAATAGTCTGAGGCTCATCAAGGAGGAAAGAAACTCATCAGGCTTTCAACTTATATCAAAGGTCTTGAGGAGTAAAAGCCAAAAAAGAATATGGAGCAAGGACAAATGTGAGCTACAACTGTCCTAGTCAGCTTTGTCAAGGGACACAGCCTAGAGTCCTCTAGGATGAGATGGGCCAATGGGTATGTCTGTGGGTGGCTGTCTTGATCAGCTGATGCAGAATGGCTTACATTAAGCACACTCTCTAAGAATGAAAGAGATTAATCGTGTAACTCATCACAATAATGCTACTTAGATTTTACCTTGCGAATTCCAGCTGTGCCAGTATTTTTTTCTTGAGCAATGGGCCCTTCTGGTGTTTGAATTCCTCCTTTCATGTCATTTGTGAGGCCTAAAGGCTGCCATGAATCATCCCATTTATCTTTAGATGTAGAAAAACACCAGTCCTATAAAGAAGAAAATGCAACAGTACATCAAGATACCGAGGCACAAGATCTCAAAGCAAGATAGCAAGGTAAGTAGTGGCGAGGAAGCAATGTATTTTAGTGACAGAAAGGACGTGCTGGCTTTCTGTCTCCGTGACTTCTTCCCTCAGAGTCTATACCACATGTCTTCACCACGTGGGTCTCACGAACATAAACACAGCACTGTGGCACTTACACCACTGTCCTAGCCTAGATTTTTCCTGAGCATCTAGTAGTACTTGTGTACTTTTTAAAAAGTCATGTATTCTTTTAAATTATAGTTTGACAGATTCTTTTGAACTATAGCCTGACAAATCCTTTTGAATTTCAGCCATGTACAACTTTCTAGAAAGCCTGGTCTACTAGATTTCAGTTTTTAGTGATTTGCTGTTTGTTATCCCAAGACGCTAACCTTTTGTGTCATTTCACCTCGTGTCTGATATGGTTTCTTCCCAACAAGGCTAGAAGTAAAGAGATGGGAGGCAGGGCCTCCTCCCTTCCCCATTTTAGCCTGTAGAGGTAGCCAGTTCTCATCCCAAATATCATCACCTATGGTCACCGACTCCAGGCAAGGCATTCCAGTAGGGATCTCATCCTGGAATGTATCAGAAGACAAAGAAGTACTTTTATTTTTATTTCCCAACATATAACACATTTTACAACTTAAATGGGTAATTTTTTTCTGGCCTCAAGTAAAGACACAAGTTTAACACATAATTTATTACTGTTTCCCAACTCTGAAATGCCACAGAAATAAAAGTAAAGATATTTAAGAATATGTACATGATAAAGAGGTCAGGAGAGGAGAAGAAGTCATCTTCTGGATGTAGGAAAGCAGGCGTCATGACTGATCAAGGGTCCTACCTGATCACAGACTTCTGAGTGGACAGTGAGAAAAACCGAGAAGCAACCAGACTGATATTTAAAGTTCAAGAGTTTTTAAAGAGCAAAACACCAGAAACAAAGTTCTTCAACGTAAGAGAGTAAAGGGGAATGAAAACCAGAGCATGAGATTAACGTCAAAGAAAGAAGCAACTGTGTCTCTAGATATCCTGCCCCAGGATATCCATGAACTCTTCCATCTGCTGGAGACCAGAGCCTCCTCCAGAGGGGTTTTTTGAAAGTAAAGCAACGTGGAATAAAAGAGAAACATTTCAAAGGGAAGGAAAGTTTATCGTGACTCAGGGTTTCAGAGTTTCAGTCCATGGTCAGCTGCCTCTATAGACATGGGCCTGAGCACGGCATGTGTTCAGGCAGTGGGAGCCAGAAACAGGGGACACGGTCTACTCAAGCTAGAAGAAATCAGAGGGAAAGTAAGAAAACATGTCTCCTGCGACTTCCACCACCTCACAATAATACCATGCATGAGCAACCAAATCTTTAGCACATGGCCTCTGAGGGACATTTCGGATCCAAATGTCCTAAGTCTCATGTATATATTGTGTAAAACCATAGGCAGTCTGCCTTCAGGAGTCCCAAAGCCTTGGCCGTTCTAGTGTTGTTCAAAAGTACAAGCAAAAACTCTCCTCAAAAACCCACAGGAAACTCTTAGTTGTGACCACTAGGAACCAGAGGCAGGTGGATCTCTGTGAGTTCCAGGCCAGCCAGAGGATTATAGTGAGATCCTCTCAAAAGCAAAAATCAAACATAAAATAATGCACTTTATAGCAGCAAGCACAGGGTTAAGCCTGGAATAGAGGTTAAAGCCTCTATTCCAAATGAGGAGTAAGAGAATATCAAGAAAGGACTGGACCAAAACCAGTAGCAAAACCAGCCTGGCAAACAGCAGATTCTGTATGCAGGGAACAAGGGCTCTGACGACCCACTCCCACTCACTCCCTGTCTAGTGGCAGCTTGCTGTGCTTTGGCTGGTATCTATAGCTTCTCTCTTCAGGTACCTATCCCATGTGCTGCTACCTCTAACTTCCTAGGTTTCCACCGTCACTCTGGCTTCACTCAGGCTAATGCACTGCACTATGCAAGCTTAGCACAGGGACTTCGCCATACTGCCTGCCTTCCTATGAGATCATGAAAGGCTCCATGACTCTGTAACGCTTACATTCTATGTGCCTGAAAAGGAACTACCAAGTGGGTGATGCTAGAATCTAATGTCAGGTTCTGTCATCAGTGGAGAAGTAGTAGACAGGGCCACTGACTACCCAGGTGGCTGAACTCAGGGTTTTTTGTTCCTGTTGTTTTTGTTTGTGTGTATATGTGTGTGTGTATGTGTATGTGTGTTTCTGATCCCCGTGAAACATCTGCTGTCCTAATGCAAAGTACTTAACTACTTAAAAATTTTAAGCACATCAGTGCTTTGCCTGTATGTATGTATGTACCACATGCCACATGTGTCCAGGGGCCAGAAGAGGGCATCAGACACTGAACTGGTGTCGTGGAGAGTTGTGAGTTACTATGTGGGCGCTGGAAACCAAGCTAAGGTCCTCTGCAAGAGCAAGTTGTGCTCTGACCACTGAGCCATTTCTCCAGACCTCAACTAGTTTTTTTTGTTGTTGTTGTTTTAATATCTAAATTTTTATTTATTCCTCAAAATATGAGTATCATAGCAAATAAAAAGGAAAACATTAGAAGTTCACCTAAAAGCTCACAAGATATAAATGAGAACAGCAATTTAAACAATGATACTTTATATCAAAAATGCAATTTCCTTAACTAATCAGTATTCTTGATGCCCTCCACATAGTTCTGCAATGCCTTTGTACCAAGTACAAAAATTCTTAGCCACAGTTATGATCACACAGCTACTTCCCGACAAGGTTTTGTGCTCAAAGGGTTACTTTCTTTGTCTAGGGTTAACTGGAAGCCTAGAAATGCCTGACTCACCACAGAAGCAATACCTAGGGCTCCATGATCATCCTGAGGCAGTCTACTGGAGCAAAAATGAACAAAACAGTTCCTGGTCAGAAGTTTAAAGAACACGAAGATATTGAAGCCATTGCCAGTACCTTAGAAGATATTTTTCATTAGTAGGTCAAGGAAAACCTTAACTCTGTACAGCCAAGGGTTTGAAGGGAGCTGGTGGTTTACACCTCAAAATTCCTCAAAGCCACAGTCCAGAATTCATGTTCTTTCAACAGCACAGTGGGCTCTTGCTGATTAATGGACTCTTTGAAAATGCCTGTATCCCATTCTTTGCTGTCTCTCACAACTACCTCTGAGTAATGGTGTCCTGGGCTCCAGGATACAAGGGGAGACATGAAATCTCTCAAACACGTTCCTTCTGATCTTGCTTCTCAAACCCACAGTGAACGTTATTCAGGATAAAGAGAAGTTGGTTGCTAACTCTGTCCACAACCAAGGTCATGTTCACTTGAAATGTCTTCATATTTGGGCTCTAGGTTTTTCATCTTGGCAACCAGACACCTGGTTGGAGAGCGGGTGAGACATCTTTCTTATCAGAGACCACAGAGCAGTGGGGCACAGTCTACCCTCCCCCTGGGTAGACTGGGGACTCATCTCCAGGTAGTCAGTATCTTGGAAGCAGCAGATATATCCAAGATATATCCACATTTCAGGTACATGGGGCTTCCCAGATAATGCAAGCAGACATGACAACTATTTTCCTCTTTAAAGTTATGAGCCATAACCAGTGCCTCTCCTCTGCTTGCTCTCGCTGGCCTCCAGCTGCATTCTGAACTACTTTTTATTTTTTAAGCAATAATTTTCAGTTTACTAGATTGAAACTTGTACCATAGTCTACATGAATGTAAAATAAGCCATCTACAACAAGTGGTAATAAAGTGGGCCAAAAAGAAAAAAAAAAAAAAAAAGCATACACTGGGGGGAAAAGATTCTCCTGAAATAAAAAAGAGTCAAAGCATTATTATAAAAGACTTTACCAAGAGCTCCTATTGCCCGTTTTCTGGAAGTCCCAATGGCCTCTACCATTCTATTCATGTCAATGTCAGATCAGAGCATCCTAACACAGAGCCCCGCCCTGAGAGAGAGAGAACAGAAGGAAAAAATGGAAACAGTAACAGTATCTGGAGTTCAGATTCAAAAAAAAGAGAGCAGCAATGAAAGAGATGATGATGGTCTCGATAATCCTAGGAATGGGTTTCTGATTTCTCTCCTTCCAGGGGATAGGTGGAGGATGCGCATTAGGAGTTATAGATTAACCACATGAGCCCCTCATAGAGTCTGCTGCCATAGGTGACACAGGAGGGCTTCACATACTAGTGAAGTCCCAAATCCCACTTTTTTAATGTCACTAACATCTTTATCAAACATACTTTTTTTTTTTTTTTTTTTGAGAGAAAAAATGAAGGAGACAGATTGTTTTCTGGTCTTCAAGTTTTTCAAAAATTTTGCTCTGTCTTCTGTAAACAAAAGACAGAATTCACACTATAAATCTAGCTAAAAGCAACTAGTGATATCCACGCCAAAGCTTGACTTTTATGCTGCTTTGAAATTTCCTTCACCATGTAAGCCAGTGTATTACCTTTAGATTCATATGACCACAGACCATGAACAAGTGCAGAATGGCCTGTATTCCAGTTCCCAGCTGAGTTCTCATTTCTGTCTGAAACCTAAGGTATTAGTCAGAGTTCTCTAGAGGAACAGAAGTTACAATGACTTTCTCTGAAATAAGAGAAAGGGGACTTACAGGCTTACAGGCTGTGGTTCTGCCAGTAACAACAATGGCTGACAAACAGCAGATCCAGGAATCTAGCAGTTGTTTAGTCCATGAGGCTGGTTGTCTCAGCTGGTCTTCATTATATACCAGAATCCTAAAGAAGTCAGTTCTCATGCTAGCGAAGGAATGCACTTGTAGGAAGAGTGAGAGCAAACAGACAAGGAGAAACTCTCCTCCTCCATGTCCTTCATATAGGCTGCCAGCAGAAGGTATGGCCCAGATTAGAGGGGAAGCTTCCTACCTCAGAAGATCTGAATTACAGGTGTATCTTCCCACTGCAGATAATTTAATTAAGAAAATATCCCCCACAGGTGTCCCCAGTCATTTGGGTGTTAGTTAATTCCAGATGCAGTCAAGCAGATAACCTAGAAGAGCCATCACACCTGGTAAGCACAGCCTTCACTCTGTGATGCTCCCAGCATCCTGGTCCTCTAAGCATCTGTCATAATTAAGCACTAAGCTTGGCTTGCAGCATTCTTGTCTTTCTCTAGCCTCCTTCAAAAATTCTCCTTACAAAGCAGTGATTGCAAAGGCATCTAAACCACAATTTCACAGAATCAAAGCAACAACCTCATACTGGCATCAGTTTTCTGTATTATTTCCATAATTTTGACAAAATACTTGAGGCAAAACAACTTAAAGAGGCAATGGATCCATTACTTTGAAGCCTACCATGACACAGAGACATCACAGGAGAAGGGTGTGGCAGAGAAAAACTGTTAGGAACTGTTTAATACTATGTCCGTTTAACAGAAAATAAGTAACATTAGGTTCTGCCTTAGGTCTATTGCATACTGCCACAGCTTCTGGCCCTGAATTGATGATTCCTTTTGGGGAATTATTGCTGTCTTAGCGTTCTACTGCTGTGAAGAGACATCATGATCTTGGCAACTCGTGAAAGGGACACTATTTCATTGGGAAGCAACAGAGTTCTACATTCA